TTTTTTTTTTTTTTTTTTTTTGTTTTTGCAGCACTGATGTGAACTGTTCTTTTTAGATGCATTGAAGTTCATAAAATCTATTTCTTTCTTTTTTGGCTGTTACTCTGAATTAAAATCACCAAAATAATTATTGCGCCAATTTTAAGAGGAACTGCTAAGCTGTAAGTTTGAAAATGGCTGCTTTCGGAAACTCTGGGGCAGGGAGGAGACCGGTGCGGGAGGTGGAAATTGATGCAAATTTTGCTGAGTAAATATCATGACTGGTTTTGGGTAAGATTTTTTTTTTTCAGATGCTTAAGATTTTGTTGTGTTCGTATAGCTGAAAAGTAGTTTAAAAAATAAAGGAAACTTGCTTAGTGTATATATGTATATTTTTTGTCGTCTCTGATGTCAAGAATGTGTAGTCAATCATTTGTCAGTCTAGCTAATGGTTCTGCGAAAGGAAGAAAAATGGTTCGAACTCAAACACAGAAAACTGCTGCAGCAAAAGCCAACAATAATCTAATGAACAGCGGTTTTTAGAAATCACAGTAGTTTAACCAGTTTGATTTTTGTAGTCAAACAAGCAAACAGAAAAAAACCTATTTTTCTATCATTTGTAAGCCTGGTAGTATGATTCAGAAATGTAACAGAGTAAATTCAGCATATGCATGTATTTATCCATGAACGATATGTTACATAATTATTAAAGTCCGGCATAAATTAAGTCGAAAAGAGTTTGAAAAAAAAAGTGAAGAAAGAAGAAACATGTGCAACTGTTTAAGTTGAGTAATAATAAAAATTTGAAAATTTTTGATGGCTTAAATAGCTGACTATATTTAAGCTGCAAATACTTGTTATGGCTTACATAGTTATTGCTTTTTTGTGACAAAAAATTTCAAACATGGAAATAAAGAATCGTTTTTCTTGAAATTTTTCTTTCTATAAAGTAAAAATAAAAGCAATAAAAAAATGACGATTTGTAAGTTTAAGGTTTTGAAAAGAACATTCGAATTATGCTTAACAACTTTACTTAACATTTCTTCAACTCTGTGTTTTCTTTTTTTTCTTTTTTTTTTGAAATTATTTTTTTGCGGCCAACCACGGTCTTATTCCTCCTTCTCCTCCTCCTCCTTCTTTCTCCTTACTCTGTCTTCTGATTTTTTTCTGTTTTCTTCTGTTTTCTGTTTCTGAAATAAAAACGAAAAGATGAAAATAAAACAAAACAGAGTATTCGGAGGGAAAAAAAGAAGCAAAGAAGCAAAGTGCACAGTAATGTTTAGCAGCGTCAGCATTATACTTTTTTTTTTTTTTTTCTGTCGACCAAACAGATTAATATGGACGTTTGCACAATTAGGATTGACATGTTGTCGATCAGCGAAACTAACTTAGCATTTCTGTTAGCTTCAGCTGGGTACTTCTTAGAGCACTCGAGCAGTACTCAAGAAAATTTTTGCTTAATTTATAAACTTCTTCTTTATCAATAAAAAAAAAATGAACACAGTATTATTTTTGCTGAACTACTACGGATGTTTTTTTTCTTTCTTGGTGAGTTTTTTTTTGGTTCAAAATTAGATGAAAAAACAAAAGTAGGTAGCGCGTACGGATACACTAGATGGACAGATGAGTGGTTGGATCAGTGAACGAATGGATGAATGAATGGTTGAATTTTGTGGAACATCTTGAGTTGGGATACCGTCATAGGCACTCTCTTCCAGGAAGCTTAAGTTTTCCAATTTTTATAGTTAATTTGTTGACTGAACATCTCATATCTCTATCAGCAATAGATTTGCTTGTTTGTTTTGTCGTTATTTTTACTGCCAGTTTTATTCAGTTTTTACCTTTTTGTTTTCGTTTACTTTTTTTACCGCTCTTTTTTTCTCGCTGTTTCTATTTTCATTGTACAGCTGTTTACGGCGGAGAAAATTTTTGATATTTGGTTGATATATTCTAATGAGAAGGAATATAAAAGAGATAATAATAACTGGAAATAACTAATGGTTGTATTTCATCTGTTCTTACCTCTCCACCTAATGCTTATTAATACCGGTTCCAGTAACTTAAACATAACAACAAATATTTTAAGGAGCTTATATTTTATCGGCTGGTAAAAAAAAATATTTGCTGTGGTTTTACATTTTACGGTACCTACTAGTTTTCTGAGTGTTGAAGTAATTTATATTTCAAAGAAGAAAGTAAAAACAAAAAAGCCGTTTTTTTTTTAGTAAATTTTTTTACTCAAAGATACTTCAATTGACATAAAAGTCTGCTGATTGTTAGCAGATAAACAAATAAACTATGGTATATTCACTTAATATTTCAAGGAAATATGCCGCAAAAAAAGCAAAGCTAAGAAAATCAGAAATAATAAGTTAAAAGCTTTTTTGCAGTCAGCTGTTATTACTTAATAATTTAATGAAAAAATTTGTGCCAAAGAGTCAATAAAATTTTATTTTTTTAGAAACATTAATGAAGTGAAACAATTAAGGAAACAAAAGGAAGTTAAACTGTATACTGCCAAAAACCTTCCGAAGACTTTTCTGTGGTACTTTTCAGCTGAATTAATTGAAAGTTGACAATACAGTGAGTTTTATTTTTGGAAAATACTGTTACGCTTCAGATTTGTTATTGTGTACGGTTATTCAATCTTTTTTTTTTTATTTGGTTAACTGATACAGTGGTTAGTTAGAGCGGTCAATATTACCTCTAATAACTGTGCTATAAAAAAGAAGAAATAATGAGATGAAGAGGATAGAAGAAGAAGCGTAAAGTAAGCAGACGGAGATTGAGAAAAGGGGACAACGTCGGAAAACTTGTTTGTTGTAACCACTTAGCTGAATGAAAGAAGTTATTGGCATCAGCGATAAGTACCTAATAAAAGCTTATTTTTTATTAACATAATATTTTTGTAAATTTGTTGTTTTTTTTTGTTAAATTAATGCTTGAAAAAAAGTAAAAAAATCTGTACCCGTTTAGTTTGTTACTTAAAATTTGCTGACAATCAAAACAGATTATATGAAATATGCAAGGAAAAGCACAAAGAAAAACATTTTTTTCTGTCAACTCCAAATTTCCTAATCAGAACTGAGCTTAATTTTTGCTTACCAATCTCATTTGATAACAGTTACAACCCTACCAACAAATATCCTTATGCAGTTTTACAATTTCAATGCGGACATCAATTTATTTGTTTTAGTTTGTTAAATAGTTCGGACTATAAAATACTTATGTCCTTGTTTGGTAGTTTCGCCTTTTTTTTTTTTTTTGTCTAATCCAATTTTACTTTCCATCAGTTTCTTTGTCGATGAAGAACTCTTCTAACGCTTTTTTTCATTGGTTGCTTGGTATTGTTATGTGATGATTCTTTGTTTATAAGGAAATTTGAAGCGTTTAAAGCAAGTGCTCATTGAAGTGTTCTAATTTGGCAGCTGTAGCATTTTGGGGTTTTTTTTGAAGTGCAAATAAAGCTGTGAAATCCATTAGTAAAATGGAAAAAAGATTTTTTTTTAGGAAACATATTAGAAACGTAAGTGTCATACGATATATGCGGTAGTCGTGCTATAAAAAGACAGTACATAAATATCATATTTTTCAGAATTTTGAGGGTTTTTGTGAATTAAACTTTTGAACTACAAGTAAAAATTTTTTGTATTGGATGGTGGAAAGATGCGGACAAAAATGGGTGTAGGACTACAACAGCAACCGACAATAACCTATTCGATTAATAAGCGATAACAGCAGCAACAACAACAACAACGAAAAAGTTGTTTTAATTTGATAGAACAAACATCTAACAAAACGATGAAAAAAGTAAACTGATAATTTTTTCGGGTGAACCACGAAAATGCTTTTGTTTTTTCTGCTTCGTGCTTTTTTTTTCTTCAGCAGTCACATTCAATGCCTGATAGATAAACATTTGTTGTTGCTTCGGCAGGGTTTTGTTTTGTGTATCATGCAGACGGCGAATGGGAGAAGGTGAGGTCGGTGAGAGGAGGACGGGTGGTCAAAATGAACAAAAAATTTTAAGTGAATTTTGGGTAACGAAGTATCAGCTAGCAACAAGCAAAACATAGCTGAATATTTAAACAAAAATTTCTGTGGCCATTTTCGCCGAACTGTCAGTTAACGGCAACAGCAACTGAAGGGACTTTTTACTTAGCCACGCATGAACGCACTTATACAGACACAAGCAGACACACAAAAAACACATACAAACGTACACTCACAACTCCAACGTGCTGTTGTTGCTGTTCGGAGGGATACCTATGAACGCATTAGGCTTCATTTACTGATTATTGGATACTTGGGTCTCAGCTTCTGAACCTTTTATATAAATCTTTTTTCGTCCTGCGTTCGTCTGAATCTAATATTTTGTGTTCACCAGTGGCCGTTATTGCCACTAACTATTAGGGTTATCAGCCATTACTGATGCCATATCTTAACCAGCGTCGTTTCGCAAAAGATTCCTGTTCTTTCTTCCACAACTTATGACATTCAAAAGTCGTGTTCAGAAAAACATCCATAAAAATCAGCTTCATTTACAGTCTTCTCATTGAATGTTTCTCTTTTGACATTTTAAACGTCTGAAATTTAAGAAACGTAACTGATAAAATGTTATATGACCAAACGCTATGTGTGCTGTGTAGAAGTTGCTTACTGTCTCTTTTTTTTTTTCATTAAACAAAACCGATTTGTCTGTTTTATAAAATTTTGAGAGAGAAGTAGGAAACAAGATGAGAAGGCAGTCAGGGACAAGACATGGCAAAAATCACGCAGACAGTTTATTTCTTATTTCTTTTTTCTGTTCAACTTTTTTTTGCACTTTTTTTGCTGAGATCCAAGTATCCAATATACAAACTTTATGATGCCGTAGACTCAATCGTTGTTGCTTGGTCAGTTCTCAAGCATGTGCAAATTGTTGTGCTTAATGTATAGTGGAAAGTCAACAGTTAATAAGGAAAAGTTGTGAAAGTTGTAACTGCGTGTTTTGTTTTTATTTTTATCTTTATTTTTGTTTTGTTCATCAACAAGAAATCAGCTACAGTTCCTAAACTACTGGAATGCAACGCTCTGCCATCCTCTATAACTAAACCACTGACTGCACACTTCTACATCAATGCCTTATCTTGAAGATAGTTGTAGTTTAGTACAGCCAACAAAAGAGGCACTCCGTTTTTTTTTCAGTTTTTTTATTTTTTTAACTTGGTCTTAACTTATAAAGGATTTTGGTTATATTCTAAAAAAATGCTTCGTCTGTTTAATCCACTTCTAGCGAGCTAGCAAGGGAAAGTTGAAAAGAGCAGGTGAAAGAAAATCTGATTCTTTGTATCATTTTCCGGCAGAAGCGGCTTAGGGAGAACTGAAGCAAATGAGTAGTTGAAGAGAGAAGGGGACGGAAAGGCAAGACATTAGAGGGAGAAACGAAGGGATACAACAACCGATTTTTTTATTTTTCAGCTTAGTTTCCTTTTTTTTTATCAGAATGATTTTCGACTCTGCTACTCAGTTTGAGGGCTATAAAAAAACTAATAACGATCTGTATGGCGTTTCTGTCCATAATTTATCTACATTGTGTAAATTTAGCTTTCCTCAATTTAAAAGTGCTATTTAAAAAAATATCTCAGAGGAGGCTATGTAAAAATAGTGCAAGAACTGAACCTAAATAATCTGAAGTTATATTGATAGTTCCAGTTTATATTCTAATGATCAATACATTTAGACAGCATTATGTTGGCTGATTACTTAGCTGTTGCCTCTAGTTTGATGTTAGCATTTCCTAGCTAGAATCATTCAGAGTTATTGCTTCTAAAATCTAAATTTAGTATTTTCCACCTCATTTATTGCCTATGCTTATAGTTTCTATCCCAGATTTTTTGTTGTACGTCCGCCATGTATCATTGCAGTTTACTGTAATCCATTACCACCGTCGTACTTGTGATCATGAAGAAAGCTACAAGAAAGTCGCTATATAAGTGACTCGGAGGCCACCACTTGACCAAACTACAGGTTGAACAATGTTTCTGAAGTAAATGTACTTACTTATATTGAGTGCTTATGTATACGTTGTGATATATTATATTAAAATGATCATCAACAAACGTTTCGACAACAAACTAAAGAAAAAAGATTTTGTTCTAGTAACATGCAACTACATATAATCGGACTGTTTGATAAGTTTAAGCAATTCTGATATAGTTCCTCTAGTAAGCGCAAAAAACTGCGATTTTTTGCGTTAGCAAAAAAAAATAATCAAGAAATCTAAAAAATGCCGAAATTTCAGGCTATCACGTAGAGGTATAGCGCCAGTGATTCAAGCTTGTCTCTTTATTTAGCACTGAAGTAACAATTACCCAAATTTTCCAAGCACTTTGCTGGTGGAAACTCCAATATGCATTCCGATGATCGGTGGCATTTTAGAAGTTCAAAAAATTTTGATCGGGTGGAGTTTAGAAATGTTAACAAGCGGGAAGAACGCAAAAACAGGTGGAACAATAAAATTAACGCTTTACTTTCTCTGTTTCTCAGCAAGAAGAAAAAAGCAACGAAAATTTTACATGTAAAATTAAGCTTAACTGTGTACATTAGGTAGCTTGAACGATTACACCGTACTAGTTTTGGCACTATTGATCCAAAGGGTAAACAGCTAAACTGTTAAAAAATACAACTAGTTTACTGAGTGTGTCGTTCTTTAATACAGAGGTAACAGCTCGATAAAGTTTTTTTGTCAAAATTTTTTTTTGTGTTACAACATGAAGAATAAGAAGGAAAAGGCAATTTTTATACAGTTATCAAATCAAAAAAGGATAAGTTTTTTTGAATTGCTCAAAGCAAACAAAGGACGTAAGATAACTGTTATGCTATATAAAAGTATCACTATCATTTTTTATGAGATTTGTTAAATAAGATTTCGTCTTAGAACATCTATGCTATCTGAAAGTACTGGTTACGGGTCGTTATTGGATTCTGATTCAGTGGCATCGTTGGAAATTTCACCATCACCTTACCACCAGCATTATACAGCGTCGCCTTCCTGCTTCAACAGCGGTAATAGTTTATTGCACAATAAGTAGCTTAATGTTTTTTCAATGTTGTTTGAGTTATATTACGACGAGAAAATGACTGAAATTGAGGAACAATCTGTAATTTTTACGTTTATAGGTCTATTGTCGGTGGAGGAAAACTTCAAAATGACACGGCCAAAAAGTTATGCTAAAGGGGAAAACAAAATTCAACGTCATAATGATCAGCAAATTTTTTTGAATGTAATCTTTAGAGTTTTTTGAAAGAAGTATTTACCAAAGATTCCAAAAATAATAGCAATTTACTCGTTTCAAAGTCAATAAAATTAGGTAAAGCTATCTTTTCTGATCCACTACTTTTAGGCTAGTTTTATATTACCAAAAAGTTTATGTTGGCTACAGGTAACGAAATTCCTTATCGTTAATACCATAAATCGTGAATATTAAACGACAACACCCTGTTCAAGAGTTTTAGTAATTTAGAATCGGACCATTTATGGGAACAAAATAACTGTATCACACAATTCACAACAGCAGAGAAAGCAGTCTTTCGATCAGTATTACGAGACATGCTTACCTGACGTCCAGATAACTGAAGGCGCAAATCCTGGTTGCAGCAGAGAAGCTTGCTATATGAAGTGTTGTAGCAGATCTCGAAGTTTTTCGCCCCATACATTTTGCAGAAATAAATCAACTGGAGACCCTAATCGAAAGCTTTATTTAAGCACTTCCCTGGCAGTCCCTACAAGTAAGCGCAAAAGTTTGTTAAATATCACGTATTTTAACACTACAAATTTTTTTTAAGAAGGTCCGAACATTTCAAAGCACTCCTTCCAGCACATAGAATGTAAACCAATTTCTCGTTAACTGCTAACTTTTGTAAGAAATACTTTTGTAAAAGCCATTTTCTTATAGGTTTATTAGCTTCAAATTTTTGGCTCTTATTTTCAGATGTTCACACTGATGACCTGTTTCAAAAACCTGTGAAAGGAATCCTAAAACGACAGTGTGCTTCAGAGAGAAATCATACTGCCAGCAGACGTAATTCTAGGTGCGGCCAAGTTTCAATTCTACTTCCTATATCAGGCAAGATTACGCCTGTTCGGGATCATTATCAGGCTGATTTGCCCGGGCGCAGTTCTCGGGTTGCAAAAGCTCTTGATTCAGACGAGTGTCACATCTATGAGGATATTAAGGACGACTTCAGGGAAGGTGAAGTTATGCCAGATTCTAGACCGCCGCTTCCTGCTAGACCAATAATAAGGCCGATGATAATCTTTCCGCCAGACCGAACATTTCAACCGCGTTCAAGGCAAGCGTATCGGAGACATCCGGAAAATCTTAAGCACAAAGCTCCAACAACTAATTTTTTGAAACTATAATAAACCGCCGTTGGTTAAAGAACGGTCAGCATTTCATAGATACCAATGAATGAAAACAGATCGCTCGTCGAGACAACAGCTATCAGCAGTTTTTGTATAGTTTGTACTTGACACTACAGTAAATATGATTGCTGAATCAAGAAAAAAATCTGGTTTGCTGTTATAGATGTTTTATACCTCTCTGTCTCAGTTTTAATGATCAAAAACTCAAAAAAATGATCAATGAATTAAAAAGAATTATACCGCAGTCACTACCACTTACTTGTTGCCTATCCAACCTTAAATAGTTCTTCTACATAGTTATTTTATTCTATTGTATACTATGATAAATATGACAGTGTTGATTAGCTCTGGTTCTTTTGCTAATAGTTTTTGCCAAGAAAAAGAACGCAGATAAATTTTCATAAACTTTTTGTAAACGCATAAACGAGCAGCAGACGGCGAACTTTTTTAGCATTACAGTGTTCAAAAAATCAAGTTTTTTCCTTTTTATTCCGCTCTAAAAGTATCAAAGCTCGAATAATTCATA